CTCTTCAGACTCACGAAACACATGCAATGATACTGAATGCAAGAAAATCACAGGCCAGTGGGTGGAAAGTCTTGTGTATCCAGTGGTGGTAGAGGCATCTCAGCACTGGCAGGGGTCTCCACGTGGCTCCTTCAGCTCCGGGTACTAGCATAGCTAGTCTTGTCAGTTGCAATGTCTCCCAGGGAGTGAGCATGTGTCCCTCCCCCGGCGTGCTGTTTATCTCCTTAGCACCTCCAAATGAGGTCATCAAGTTGAGACCTGATTGACAGGCTTAACTCCACCCTCCATTCTTAATCCTTTCAAATTGACAACAGATTATGTCACTACCACATATAGCTAAGGGTTCCTACTCTACAGTCAAAACAATCTAGTGACAATGACATCAGTCTAAATTTGTGATTTATTTTAACAAGGAATTTGTAGTGCAGTTTTGAGTGTACTACTACATCATTAATGATAAATCTCCAAGCAATTTTCAAGGTAAGAAGAAAATTAATCGACATGGCTGATTCAAAAGTTTTCTTTTTAGTCACCCCTATGTAAACCTTAGAACCCTTCATAATCTAGTCACAGTAAGACTATCACTGCAAGAAATGGAATTCCCATGGAAATACTTATCAAGCACACATACAAACAGACTAAAATCTGTTTAGTTCTATAATCCAGTGGAAGTCTGAGGTTTATGTTAAGAACCTGTTAGGAGTTTGAGTTTTTCAATAACAATTTGAAGAAATTGGGAAAGGTCAATGGCAACCGACTTTATGTTCAAGTTGGGGAAGGCGTATCCAGGAAAGAGCGAGATGATTTTGTAAGATAGAAAGCCGCGCTTTCATCTCATGGCAACAACACTGGGAGTGAGCAGTATTTTCTTGCTTTTGCCACAAGGAAACGGGGTTGCAAGCAAAGTGGCGTTCTCAGGTTCACATAATCAGTAAGTGGCAGAAAAGGGTTTGGAGCCAGATCTTTTGGCCCTATATCCAATGTCATTTCCACTCCTCATGAGACCCCCCGTGGTCTCGCCCCCACTGTTTGAGCTGCTGTTCACACAATACCTGTCTTTCTTTCCGTCTCAGCCTTCACCCCTGTGCTCGCTCCCTCTCCCAGGTCTCTCCCACTTCCTGAAGCTTGTGCTACAGCAGCCGAGCCTGTTCTACAGCCGAGACATGAACGGAGTGAGTCTCTTATATGATCTCCTCCACTCCCCATGGCTGCTGGCTCTGCTCAAGGTGAGCCCCCCACGAAAAATCTACTTACCCAACTGGGCAACAGCCAGGATGGGTGGTTTGATTTTATGAATGGCCCTAGCTCACCACTGATAGGCTTCTTGTGCTTTACATTTCCTGCATCCAGCAATCAGCCTTAGTCACTTAGTCATAAGTCAAAGTCATCAGACCTGCCTGGCCTTGAGGCAGAGCAGGGAAGCTCCCCTAGCACAGATCTGGAGAAGGGTTGGGCTGAGGAGGCCTTGGGAGATTTCTAAGTAAACGCAGGCCTGCTTGGCAGAACCAGGGAAGCTTTGCTGCACTCAGCTTAGCTCGGGGTCCCAGAATGGTAAAACATGCCTTCGGGGCCAGCAGAGACTAAGTTGGAAACTTATAATTGAGCTCTTACTAGGGATTAAGGGAGGCAAAGGAACAAGACTGGGAACTGAGTAGAGTGGATGTAGTGTGAACGGCCTCCTGTTTAGACCCTCTGATGGACCCTGGGTGACATACATGTGAACTTCGCAGGTGCCTCATGCACAGGTCCTCACTGGTCTCTAGCCTTTTCTGCTTCTTCATAAATCCCCACTGGTCTCAGCCCCAGAAAGCTTACCCTCACTAAGGTGGTTGTTAGTTACCGTCGAGTGGGCACTAACTCAAGGCGATGCCATGACGGAGGCATTGCCCGGTCCTCGGCCACCTTCACTGCGCTGGTCTGCTGCAGTCTATTGGAACAGTCCCTGGGTGTCTAAAACACTCACCACCCAGCATTACATCAGACAGTATTCTACTGGGATCCATAGGGTTTCCATGGGCTGTGTTTCAGAATTATATCAACAGGCCTTTCTTCCTCATCTCTCTCAGTTGGGAAGCTCCCGCCCGCCATGGAGGACTCTGCGGGTATTTGAAATCCTAGTGGTGTCAGTTCCAGCATCGTAGCAAGAAGAGAAACACTATAGTATGACAAACTGACAGATGGTGGCAGTGAATTCATTTTACAGGAGTGGAAGTTTGAGTTCACATTATGCTTTTTATCAGCGAAATCACTTGGGAAAGATCAATTCCCGGCAATAGTCAAGAATTCAGCCTTTGAAGCACTAGAACCACCAAGCTCGTCCATTTCTTTTTGAGATGACACTTTTTCTTCCCTTTGAGAGCTTACATTTAAAATGTCAAGTAGTCTTTATCTGCCATTCTATCACCCCTGCCCTTTGGAAGGTCTATGAGTGCCTCCAGGAATTTAAAGAGAAGAAGCCAGCTCCTGTCACAGCCCGTGCACAAGCATCATCTTCAGAGGTAAGGTGATCTGTCAGCCACAGCCCGATAGAACTTTGAACACCACACTAGTTTACCAACAGCTAGTTTGAAGGAAGTGAGTGTATGGAGCATATATAGGTACTGATGGTAAAAAGCTGAATGATGATTATACATTATTTTAGGCAAGATTCTCTAGAGAAACAAAACCAGGACACTTATGATTATATATATGGATAGGTTTATACAGCAAGAAGGAATGTAACAGCTTAATTAGTCCACACAGCAGTACAGAGGGCTCAGTTCAACTCACTTCTGTGGAACAGTTAATAGACTGAAAGTCCTTCAACTCACATGGACTACGGGGTCTAAGATCAAGGAAGCAGACGTTAGAGTCCTCCCTTGGGAAGGCAGGCAGAGTCTGCCCACAGGCAGCAAACAGAAGGGTGGGTCAACAACAGTCAGTAGCTCAGGGAGCTTAGTGAAGCAGACCAGGATGGGATATCAAATGTAAGCAATGCAAGGTGACAAGGTCCACCAGCCTCAAGCTCAAGTGATGGACACACCAGCAGCATGGCGAAGCAGGTCTTGAAGGACCCTCAAGCTCCAGTTCTAGCAACATGATCCACAGGTTGGCTTGGTCCCCAGGTAGTGTAGCACATAGCTTGAGACAGAGAACCAGCTAAAGCAGCAGCACACTGGTCCAATCACCAGAGGGCAAGAGAGACGGGGGTGGGCCTTGCAGAGCCCTTTATCTCTTTGCCCTCCATTCAAATTGCAGCCTGATTAATCCCTCATGTTCCTATTGACCAAGTTGGCACAATGAACCTAACTATCATTTACATCTAGTAAGTGGCTTTAGCTTTACTATAAGGAAGAAAATTGGCATTCCATCTCCCCAAATTAAAACATAAAAATACCCCACTCCCTGATTTCTCTTCTCTTATGGCTTTCCATACTCCTTTCATCCAAGTTACTGTATATACTTGAGTATAAGCCGACCTGAATATCTCCCGAGGCACCTAACTTTACCACAAAAACTGCATTAAAAATGTGCTGAAAAACTCAGTTTATACACAAGTATATACGGTAATACCTGTCAACATTGTAGTCTGGTTTTTCCTGTAATACTTGAAAAAAAAAGTCTTTCCATGTATTCAGGGTGGACTCAAACACAAGAAAAATCTGATGATGTCGCAGGTCCGAACTGTGTTTTGCTCTGGTGTATGTAGGGTCGTGATGAGTTGGAACTGACTCAGGGGAACGTAACAACAGCAATAAGGAGCCCCGGTGGCATTATGAGTTATGGTTTAGGCTGCAGTCAGCAGTCTGAAACCACTAGCCATGCCACGAGAGAAAGATAAGGCTTTCTACACTCATGAAGAATTACAATCTCTGAAAACCCACCGACACAGTTCTCCCTCTGTCCTGTCGGGCTGTTGTGAGTTTGAACCAACTTGATGGCAGTGAGATTTTTGAGTGTTGACTAAAACAACGTAATCCTTCTGTGCAAACAATGTAATCCTTCTGTACAAACAACGTAATCCTTCTGTACAGGGTGAATTGAGTCTTCAGTTTAGAGGGACTGAAAAATAAGCTCTCCTCCGAATACTCTGTATCCATCTTCCCTGGCCTACTTTTTGTCTTAACTCTTATCACCATCAAACACTATATATATATATAAATATATATATATAGCTTATAACATAATATATGTGATCTATAACTTATACATGTTATATCTAATATATGACATACATAACATACATATGTTATATTCATTGTCTGTGCACGCTTCATGAGAATGGGAATTTTCTTCTGACTGTTCACTGCTCTTTTAGCATCATCCAAAACAGTACCCAACATAGTAGGTCCTCAATAAATAGTTGTTGAGTAGATGACTAAATGAGAGTCCATGTTATTAGTCATTGCACAAGCTATATTTTAAAAAGGGAGAACAAGGAACTCTACCCTCAAGTCCCTTAATCAACAACTCAAAATGGTTTCTGTTATTCTCAGGGCCACACGACAGCATTTTGATCCGTTATGAAAGTGTTGGGTTGTTCACTGTAAGGCTGGCCGTTCAATCAACCAGCTGTTCCACAGTAGCAAGATGGAGATGTCTGCCTCTATGAATATTGAAGTCCCAGGAACTCTTTGGAGCAGTCCTACTCTGTCCTATAGGGTCACAATGATAAGAACCAACTGGATGGAACTGGGTTTGGTTAGTGAATGGAGGGATAGCTTTGCAAATTGTGTTTTCATTTGACTATATGTTATGATGGCCGATGACACCTAACAACAATGAAAGATGCTCTCTGCTAGGCTGAGTTGTCTAAAGAAACAAAACCAGTGGTACTCATAAATGTGTAAGAAAGAACTTATATCGAGGTGTAGTTTTATATCAAGGCATTCCAGCCCAATCCAACAGTCCAATGTTAGCCAGAGCTGCAGTCCGATGGTGCAGAAAGGGGAAGTGGGAAGCAAGGCGATCACAGGCCAGAGTAAGTGCCTTGGCAAAGTTGAGTGGGTGCAGAGTTGAGTGAATTCAAGGTTGGTGGGAACATGGCAAGGTGCCAGCAGCTCCCAGGGTTGGTGGCCCACACGGGAGAGGAGGCAGACTATCAAGCGGATAGGACAAAATGTCAGAGAGAAAGAAGTTCTTTCTGTCTCTCATAAAAAGGCCACAGCCCCCAAGGAAGCATCATCAGGCTAGTTGATAGATTAGTCTACACCCCTACACTTTCACACAGGTGTAAGTTGACATAAAATCTAACTGACACATGCTCCATTGTGTTTTTTTTCTTGGGTTTTTTTTTTTT